AGCCACATTTAAGCCATTTAGAGACGCTGATGAATTTATGGACCCATCCTACTTGATGGTGACACTGCCATATCCCCATCTATATCTACAACCAGAGGACCTCTTCTACACAAACTACTCGCAGATTCCCTTTCTGTACCAGGCTAAAGTAATTTTTTGTTCGTTAAAAGTCGAACATTTAACAAAAATTCAAAGAGAACGTTACAATTCCGGAACAAGGAAACAGCCATCAAAAATACACCTTAAATATATACAATATTAAATGTATACTGCCTACGTTAAGATTTAAAAATATTAACACCATCATTAGGAACTTGAAAACTATTGTAAGAGCCTCCAAAAGTATGCTACAAAATGTATAAATGTCCTTATTTAATAAGGATTCTGCACTTTCTTCTTACATTTTGTAGCATACTTATCAGCATGTTTGTCATAGTTGACCTACTTTTATTTCCAGGCTAAAATTTACATAAAAGAGTATGTTAAATTCGATCTCCTAATTGGAAATTCCCCTATTTTTTTTCTTTGTATGTATTGATTTTCTTCATGTGTGTGTTTTAGAGGAAGAGAAAAACAGGGAGGGCGGTGAGTTTGGAAAAGCGGGAGAATAGGGATTTCGATGCGTGGAAACTCTGATGGATAGTTTGCTTGATTGGAGCTGGCAGCAGGGTTGCCGCCATCGAAATTGAAAACCAAGTAAAGCAAACAAAAAACATTTGCCCTTCCCCCACATTTTCCTCGTTTTCCACATTGAATCTTGCCCTTAATCAAACTCAATTATGAAAAGCAAGGCAAATGTGTATAGATATTAAAGCTTAGAGTTGTGATCGGATTGATACCCCTTAACAGTTCAAGAATGCTTAAGAATATTATGCTGAATGCTAATTAAATATATATATAAATATATATATATATATATCGATAAATACTGCTATCCTTAGCAATACCCATCCCCTTACAGGGTATCCGAACAGACCGCAGACAGTGATTTAGTGACTGGCGGAGAGTAGCTCTCCCGAACAGCTGATATGGGGGCGAAGGTCAGATGATATCGGGTTGATTTGGGGGCGGAAGTGGGATACCAATGGGGACAGCACACAAATTGTAAACAAAAGACTGTGAAAACATTCGCTTCTTTTGTGGGTGAGTGTGTCAAAATCACATTAGATGCTGTTAACTTTTGCCAGTGACTGTATCTCGCATTATTTCCCTTCTTTTTCCCTCCTTCCCGTATATATTTTTTTTGTTCAATTTGTTTGCTTGCCCGCAAATTGATTGATTGCTATTGATGCGTGATTTGTCCTTAACCCTGCACGCACACTCTACGTCCTTGCCCTTATCCTTAGCCCCTAGTCCAACGGACTCCCATATATGGCTTTGCCTCTTCCGCGTTCCTCTGCTCTGCCAAAGATTTGTGGTCATCCCAAATGGGTTTTTGGAGGCCACTAAATTACAGAGGACCAAGTTATCGAGAGGTCCCGGAATGAGTGATTGAGTGTATAAGTGATATTAACTTTGGCTTACACTTGACTCTTGTGTAAACTTTGTAATCTGCACTTGAAAATGATTGATTTTGTGCAGAGACTTCAAAAGGCTTAAAGGATATTGTATGAGATATGGGGTTAGAGCTTAGATAAATTCAATTTTTTACAGATAAACATATGTGTATTGAAATTCAATGATTCTGCAGCTCTAGCTCATATTAAAGTAGAGATTTAACTGCAGAAATTTTCTATTTATAAATTCTGGAAATCACAATATTTACGCTCTTTAAATTCGATTTAAAAGTTCACCAACAACTTGTTATCTTTTGAACTTTGATTTTGGGTTATTTATCTTAATTTCGGCTAGCAAACTTTTGTGGCAAAATTCGCTTTGTCAGCTCGGGGAGAGAGCCGGCCCTTTATTCTCACTTTCTATTCTTGTCCAAACAAAACCATATATATTTCGATAGCATTCCCCGGGGAAACTCGGTGACACCTCTTCGCCTTGGTGACCCACGACCACAAAACAAAAAAATGTGTGCTCTCCTTTTTTTGTTCGTCCTTTGGAATGTGCAGCAGGGAAAAGGTCGATTTGCATACGGGGAAAATACAAATAGGAGGCAAAGGGTTTTAGGGTGGGAGAAATATTTTCCCAGATGCATTCTTTATGTCGCCCGAAAGGGTTAAATAAAAAAGCAATTTTTATGCATTGCCCATTTTTTGTTTTTCTTTCCATTTATTATTTTGTTGTTTGTCGTTTCGCATTTCGTTTTATGATATGCCGACATGTTGGCCAGGTCGTAAAAGGCTTTCCCCAGGTATAAATTGAATTGCGTGAGCCGTGGAAAATCCAAAAACCAAAAATCCCCAAAAGCGGAAAGCTCTGTTTAATTAAAAAATATAAATAAAGTGATGGAAGAGCAGTCTCTCCCTCTGAAATCAAATTGAATTTGGCAATAAACCTTGACACTGACGCGACAGGGCTGACTGACTAATGGGAGTCAATAAAATATTTAAAAAAATATACATAAATATGTGAGGTTTTAATTAATGGCCAACCACAAAATGTGCAATTAAACTCGCATATATTATGGCCTTCTCCACGACAGATACGAATGTATCTAGTGTAGCTGCTGCAATAATTCTTCCTTTTTTTGGCACTTAATAAATGGCTGCAATTAAATCGAATTTTATGTTCAACGCAATTGTTAAAATGGGGAGGAGGAGTAAGGGGAAGCTTTGTCTCTCTGGGGGATTCGGTTCCTACCAAAGGGTCATGTCCTGGCCACAAATATCTCTCCCAGTCTCCCCTCCTAGTTTTCAATTCCAATTGCAGCTGACAATGGCATGCCCTCTGGTCCTGAATTTGCTACCCTTTTTGGTATGTTTTATACAAAATTTAGAAGCAACTTGGAGATGCCCTTTCAAGGATTTTTAACAGATCAATAAATATATAAACAATAATATATATAAGTAGTGATGATCAGGAATGAATTGTACTGGAAGGGATACTGGAGAAATTATAGAAGGAATCAGTGACTCCTTAAGACTCCTATCGGGAGCCTAATATAGCTCCTGCATTCCGCGTTATACCAATCTCCAGTAAGTAAACAAAAAACAAAATAAATATATATCTTCTATAATAAAGAGTATAACTATTATCGGTTTTAACCCTTCCCAAATAACCCTGTGCCATTTGACTACTGTCAGGAATTTGCAATGAATTTTCTGTTTTTCGGTCCCAACATCGCTTTTGTTTCCCGTCGAATGAAAAGCGGCAAAATTCCCCCAGCACATGGTTGGACACTGCAGGCCGCAGGCCATCACCTCCCCGCCCCTATGACAGCGTCCTTCGGTTTCGTATTTTCCAGGGAAAAAGCAGTGAAACATGAGAAGGCATCCTGTGTTTCGATTTTAATACAATTAGAGAGAAAGCGAAGCGGAGAGGATGCATCGAAAGCTGGAAATAAGTAGAGGATGTGTGCGGAAATTCGAACCTAATTAATGAGGGGGAAATTCGAGAACTTCTCACACAATGTCAGGGGGGAAAACGTTAAACAAATCGGGAAAGCAAACTCGATTTTAATGTTTAACAACTTGCAGTAAAAACTACATATATTGATATTGATGTTTAAACAGGTAAAGGAGCCAGCTTCGAAGGTTCTAGAAGGTCCTGCCAAATTACCCTGCATAATCTTGTTCGATTTCGTAGACAGGTAGAAATTACAAAACAATATGTTCTTTTGGGAATACAATTTGCATAATTTATATATATTTTTAACAATTTACTGGCTTGCATGAAATGCTGCACCTCTCTTTCGGTAATTGGAATCAATTATTTCCTCCCCTTGTATTGTTAGTCTCGAGTGCGGTACACTATGCATACATATGTCTACTTTTAATGAAGGCAAAGCCGCTTATATCCCCCATTCAACAAATAACTTATACACGCACACACACTTAATGGGGGTGGTGGTAGAAGGATACCAATAATGAAGGCACTACTGACATGCAAAGGCTGATTGACACACAAAGCGAGCATTCTGCCAGGATGCTTAACCATGGGCATCATGGCCCCAGCAAGAACCATGCCGCCATGCAATAATCCGCCCACTTTTTGCAGGCCTACACACAGGGAAAATGGTATAATATATATTATTTTGTCACTCTCCTTTAAATTTCCAAGTATATTTAACTTGATAGATCCAAGAAATCCTCATTAGATCTAGTTGTTAGCTTAATTTTCCTTACAAAATAATAGTCCTGCTTTAGTCCCAGTATTCTCTCGGTGTAGTTTGTAGTTCGTTTATGGCTTTTGCTGCAATTCATTAAGAATTTCCCCCCCATAGAGCGTTGGCAGCCAAGACTTAAGTGGCGCCTCCTGGACTCCCTTCCCTCTCTCCCCGCACATCCTTTTGGCTGCTGCAGGACTCCCCGCCCCGTTACGAGGCAGGCAGGCAATTATTATGTGCCGAGGATGTTAGATATCCTGGACAGCAGCAGCAGCAGGCGACAGCAAATGACGGGCCATTAAATCGGCCCGAGGTCCTTTGCACGTGCAAGGATTGCGGGGCAATAAACAAAATCGCGACTCTAGCAAAAACCCAAAGCTAAACCCAAAACCCAAACCCAAAGCCGTGACCAAATGTTGGCTCATAAAACTATGCAAAACAAGCGGATTATGGTCAGAAGGGGCTGGGGTCAGGTCAGGTTAGGTTGGGTTAGGTATCTCTATTTTTATGAAGGTCACGGCGGGTAGCGAATAAGACCGCTGATCCCTATAAGGACGAGCAATGCATCTACCTGGGGGAGCAAGTATATATGCCTGCAGCTTTCTGGCAATCAGCATCAGTTGGTCAACAGCATTGGCAGCAACAAGAACATAGTCCTGAAGTTATACCAATATATATTCCATAAACCAAGAATTGAGAATATATACGAGATTTGACGAGTGAATTAATAAGAAGCTAAAATAGTACCCTTTTTGAGTCTCACTTAATACTCAATTCAAAAAAAATGGGCAGCACTCACTCCACTGAAGAGGTGAAAGCCGGCGAGGACACCACAAGTCCTGCACCGCCTGGTCTTTGCTGTCCTTTGCCCGGTTTTCTGGCCAAAATCCAGAGGATTCTCCTCCGCAAGCTGAATATCTCAGCTAGGAAGCAGAAACGCCTCCGACGGCTGACCCATTCGCAGTCACGTCACCTTCTTAGGCCCATGCCCAGGTGCTCGTCCTTTGGCTCCTGTGGCAACCTGCTGACGCCGCCCACCACCAAGAGATCAGGGGGACTGCCAGCCGACAAGCAATATGCCCAGTGGAAGTGCAGCTTCGAACATCTGGCCGCCAAGCAGGGAAAGCAGCGTCTTCATGACATCAGCGAGGCATTTGTTGGACAGACTACGCCCCGGGGATTCCCCTCCCACACGGACACCAAGCGATGCCGCAAAACCTTGCTATCCGAGAAGGAGAAGCAGCCGGAGGAGGATCAGTTGGCTTTGCCAGAGTCACCGCTATACGACATGGTCGGTGGTGGCATGAAGGTACGTCGTCGCCTCAGCCTAAAGAGCGGCAACAGCCACACCCTGGGAAGACGTCCCTCTGCCCGCCAGAAGGCTGCCCAAGCTCGTCTGGAGGCACAGTTCAAGCGGGATCTTTGCGATCTGGAGGAGTACTATGGTGGCTTTCACTTTGCCCGACACAGCGAGCGATTGGCAAAGTTTTAATTATATATATTTTATAAGATTTTAAAATTGTAAAGATTGAGCTATAAGCATTGTGATAGCTTGTAAGCCCCTCAACTGAGACCTGAATTTAATTCGGAATAAATAACCATATATGTTTTAAAAAAGTTCTTGAGTTTTCCTATTAGAATCGAGTATCTAAACTAACCAATGGAATATATAATCACAAAACATAATCAATTATAAATACTTTGTACTGGGCGGTACACCAACATCTCCCTCGAGCCCCTATTTTTAGCTCATTAAATTATTGAACGAAATATTTGGCATGAATAGTGCCCAAGCAGACACTCTTGATCTAAATCAAAATCGGGGGCAGGGTCAGGGGAGTACAGGGCGAGAAGGCGTGGCAATTAATCAGTTGCCAAACTAACACAAAACAAAAGCAAACACACAAAAGCAACAAGATGCAGCAGGCACTAGAAAAAAAAACAGACAAAAGCCAGACGAAAAACCAAAAAAAGAAAATAAAAATGAACAAGAAAGGAAGCTAACTTCGGCACGCCGAAGTTTATATACCCTTGCAGGTAGAACTTCTATGAATAGGAATCCATACAATATAAATTATATATATTTGTGTTAAAAAACAATGAAGTAATACCTGCTTTCATTTCATTCACCTATACATATTATATTTGCAGTTTTACATTCACAGATTCTCATTTTTCCTCTACATCAAACGATCGTGTGTATGGCACCTATATGATATAGTCGTCCGATTTTTACGGAATTTGCCACAAAATTTAAGACTTATATAAAATGGCTATACCTCAAATTTGATGAAAATCAGCTGAAAACTAAAAAAGTTATAAATTTAATTGTATTAATTTCTCGATCGTTCCTATGGGAGCTATATGATATAGTCGTCCAATTTTCATAAAATTTTACACAAAATTTTAGAATAATATGAAATGGCTATATTTCAAATTTGATTAAATTCTGTTGAAAACTAAAAATGTTATCGCCACCGCGATTGTCAGTCTTCCGACAACAGACACCGCCATTCTCATTCCTCTCAAATTTCTCGATCGTTCCTATGGGAGCTATATGATATATTAGTCCGATTTTCATAAAATTTTACACAAAATTGTAGAATAATATGAAACGGCTATATCTCAAATTTGATGAAAATCTGTTGAAAACTGAAAATATTCTACTTATTAATTGAATTAATTTCTCGATCGTTCCTATGGGAGCTATATGATATAGTCGTCCGATTTTCATAAAATTTTACACAAAATTGTAGAATAATATGAAATGGCTATATCTCAAATTTGATCAAATTCTGTTGAAAACTAAAAATTTTATAATTTTTTTTGTAAAACTTTTCCGATCATTCCTATGACAGCTATATGATATAGTCGTCCGATCCGGCCCGTTCCGACATATATACGAGTGAGAGTATATAGAAGACTAACTGCAAAGTTTCATTCAGATAGCTTCAAAACTGAGAGACTAGTTTGCGTAGAAACGGACAGACGGACAGACGGACAGACGGACAGACGGACAGACGGACAGACGGACAGACGGACATGGCTAGATCGACTCGGCTGTTGATCCTGATCAAGAATATATATACTTTATATAGTCGGAGGTGCCTCCTTCACTGCGTTGCAAACTTCTGACTGAAATTATAATACCCTGCAAGGGTATAAAAATTCGCAAGTACTACTTGGTGAGAGGTTGGGAAAAGCAGAAGAACCGACAGAAAATGTGATGGTGCCAAGGGAAAGCTCTTCGAGGCCTTGCCCGATTTTTCATACTTATTTGTTTTTTTTTGCTACGCACAGGGAAAAATAAATAGTTGTGGGGATCAATATTTCGATTATATACTTTAAACAAATTATCTCATTCAATTATTTAATACTTATAAATTGAAAATAAAGACTTTTGTTTTAAAACATATTCCTTTAGTTTCAGCTAGAATCCTTTTGAAATTCTGGTGCAGCGCCGATAATGGAGGACAGGAAATATCTATAAGTCCATATAATAACAATATTTGATACTGCATTTTAATACAGCAATATGTTTAATGTATCCATATTTCTATATCCTATCCGTCGTTTTCCTGCAGGAGCTTCACCTTAAAATGAAATTAATTGAAGCTTCCTAAATGTATTCATTCAACAATCAGAGCTGTATCCAAAATCGTTTCAAGGAAATATCATATTTCTCCCAGTGCATAAATATTTTTTATTATTATTATTTTGTATTTTTTGGCAGCTCTCGCTCTCATTCTGAAGCAACCAATTTGCTGCGTTGCAGATGGGCAGATGAATAATGATATTCCGCTTTAGAATCCGGTTTTCGGGTAATGCACTTTCCCTTTCCTCCTTCCAAAAAACGCACTGAAAACAGTCGGAGAATGGAGCTGGAAAAGCAGACGCAGATGGAGAAGAAGCTAAAGATGCCCCCATAACAATGCAAATGCCCCCAAAATGAAATATTTGTGGCACTGTCGTTGCCATTTCAGAGACGCCAAGTTGAACGAACCTCAAATAAAATAAAGAAAAACAAAATGCGAAAAAAAGAAATGAAATGAAATTAAAATGGTTGGAGTGACGACGATGATACTGAATAATGACGAGGGCCTGACCGTCAGCAAATAAAGTTCCCAGCAATCCAAAAATTAATGCTTCAATTTAGCCAAAGAGTTGGCTTTCAGTCATGATGAGTGTCATTTTGAGCTAAGAAAAATTTTAAATTTATCGACAGAAAATGTTATTAGAATTTAAGGTATTGTAGTTTTAGTCAGACGCTTGTATCGATGTGAAAGAGTCATTTCCGACCCTATAAATCATATACATTCTTGATCTGCATTAAAAAGGCAAATCTTTCTAGCTGTATCCGGCAGAAAAGAAATTGTCAAAAAAAAAATTAATTAAAAATTAAAAAAAAAAGTTAAGGGGTTAAAATTTTCAAAGAATGGCAACAAAAATTGAATTTTCTTACAGGTATGCAGATTTATAAACCTATTAAAAACTGGCATACAAAGACTTTCCGAATTGAAATTAGTAGATTTTTGGCTTAGTTATGTGATTTGGCAAAAATAAATATACAAAAATATGAATAGGTATTCAATAAATATTGATTGATATTTATGAACGATTTTCAATTTAATTTTAAGGGTATATAAACTTCGGTTTCCTCTAGCTAGTTTCCGTTCTTGTTTAGGGTAAAATCAATATAAAAAAACAATTATATTTATTGAGGAATAACTGCAGTACAACTCCAGGTTGCTCACTAAAAATGAACTCCTATTACAAGGGAAATTACATTTAGTATCTTAAAGATATTCAATGTATTCCCCATAACATAGATGAATTATGCAAAATTAATTCTTTGATTAAGCAATTAAGCTGGTTAATTTTAATGTAATTGCAATTGTAGTGGACCCTGCATGGACCACGTGAACTCTGACCCCATTTGGGGGAACTTAATGCATGGCCACAATTAGCCATCATTGTTCGGGTGGGTCAACACTTTCACCATTAGCATACGGTATATATGTAACACACCTATTCCAAATCGATACCAATATCAATATCTAAACCAAAACCGAAAACCCAAAAACCAAAACCCAAACTGAGACCGAGACCAGCAGTAAACGTCACGTGCAGGCAGAACCAAATCAACAAATGAAAACTAATAGGCAATTATAGGCAAATGTCGCACAAAGGGGGTTGGTGGTGAGGGAAGGAGGGGGGTGGCAGAGAAAATGGGAGGTGGCAGACCGAGACAAGGTCGCGGTCACAAGTTGCGACTAAATGGAATCGGAAATGCTACCCCCTTAAAGCCAAACCTCTTTAAGTGCACAGCTCATGGGGAAATTTGTAGAAAAATTATATACAACATTAGCATTTGCTAAATAATATATCTTACAATATATTATGTATTGAGAAATTAATAATACTAATTGTATTGATAATATATCAATAAATCATCAATTTCATCAATTTTTCTTAAAAGAAAAATAAAAATATTTAAATAAATAAATAATTTCACCTTAATTTGTACCTAATTATGGGTTACTTTTTAAGTCTTTTAACCTAATAAGTATTCACTCATGATGAATAGTTGATTGTTATTAATTAATTATCATAAGCTCGTCCATAAAAAAAGGAATTCTTCACTAATATCTACAAATAAAATCTACAAATTTAAGAATCAAAAACCTTTTTTGCCCATCTCTTAATAGTCACCTAAAATTAATTAAAATACCAAAAAAAAAAAAAAAAAAAAATGAGAAATTTCCAAAATCCTGTCTTCAGAGCTGAACTCATATCCAAGTTCCCCATAGAAGATAGCTTCCAGCTTTCAGATCCCTGAAAATCTCTACGGAAACTCGCCTAATGATTATATTGGCGCGGCAATTTGTACGCTTTCCTCCCTTTCCCTCATTTGATGACTAAACCACATGGATATTTTCACGCCTTGTATCCCATCTTGGGCTGCGTTCTGCCTTTTTCCTAGGAAATTTGATTTTACGCTATTTATTTAAATTTATTTATACTTTATCTGCAATTTGAACAACGACGACGGCGACGACGACAACGTCGACGAGCAATCTCCGCGTCATCCGCGCCTCATCCTGTCGAATGGATGGCTTCACTTCCTACGAAAGGGGGGCGTTGGCGTCTCTGCATACATTTTCAGTGTAGGTCCCTCTGCCCTTTGACCTCCCACTGTCCCACTCCCCTCCCCGTTTTCCCTCTCGTTTCGCATCCCGTTGACGTTGACGCTGATTGTGTGCAAATGATAGCAATATGGCAACAATCTTTATATCACACCATCCCAGCCAGCCCCAGCGACGGCCCACTTTTCCGGCCAGAGTTGTCGCTGCGCTTGTTTGTTACTGTTATCATTATCATGCTTGGCTGATGACGATGACAATCATGACGATGACGATGAGATGGCTCTTTGAGCGTCCTGCTCCCTGCTCCTTGCTCCTTACTCCTTGCTGCTGCTTCCCACCTTCTCGG